GCAGTTTTTGTGGAAAGGTTGTACGCACAAAACTGTATCTTGTATGCTTAAAGGAGGAATTCACGATTAGAATGAAGGTCGAAGAAAGGGAAACTGACCTAGTTGAGGGACCCACGGACCTCCTGAGGGTGCGAACTGACGCGCAATTCGCATGGAAAAATTTGACCTCGGCGACCTATCATGCCTCAAAGCTGGCGGGTCCGGCGATCTCCGCCCACCGATCATCTGATCACTCGCCGTAGTTCAATACGTGGCGAGTGATTAGATAGCTGAGAGAGCGTAGTGTTGAAGAGGGCACAGCGATGAGAGTCGCATCAATGCTCAAATCAACGGGCAAGGAAGGGGTCCCATTTCTCGGGTTCTGGGCCGTTTCTCATGGTTTCTTCCTTCTTTCGTGTACCACTCACCATCCCTAGGTTAATTTGAAATGGGTTGCTTTTTCATCGTGAATTCGTCCTTTAAAGGAGGAATCCACGAGAGCACGATGGTCGATAAGGGGACTCACCTAGTGAAACCTAGTGAAAAAACAGGTGGACTTCACAAGGGTGCGGACCGACACGCAATACATCAATACATACACACATTTTTATCTGCTACAATTAGGTTACTTATTTCTGACTTGTTGTGTTTCGTTTATATGTTGTTAAGCATGCGATAAATTGAAATTGAAATAAATAAATAAGTTGTACGCTGCCAATAGCATAGAGAACTTTTGCAGCTTTACTAGGAGGAAAGTATGACCTTTCCTAAAACTTGATACCGACTAGAAAGTTTGGAGATGGTTAATAGGTCATAATTGACTCAACTATATAACAAAAGACCCCATCCACTTTCGTGGCAGGACCGGCACCGACATAGCACTACGCGAGTATGTAATATCGCTCCGTAGAAGGAGGACAAATACTGTTAGAAAGCCTGACTTATTTGTCCTACGTGATAAGCCAATATCTAATGAGGTTATAAAAGTGAAAACTAGAAAGTAATAGAGGGAAATGTTCCGAATCGATTACTTGTATTCCAGCTCAATGGAAAGATTAATTTGAAATGATGATTGAGTTACCATAGGAAAACATTGACAGCAGCATCAATAGGTACGTCATTACTGTTGAATTGAGCCAACTGAGAACTGCACATGGGCCGGGTCTGCGCGATGAACTAGTTCACGAATTTCGTTTAATCCGTTTGTGGGGGTGATCGCGAATTCAGCGGTGCAACCTCACTTCACTCGCCCGCTGGACCAATAAAATTTGGGCCAATCCCGCGGCATTGTTCACAGATTTTTCAAAAAAAATATTCTAGCCAATTTAGAGCTAGGGACTAATCATTGTGCTACACGATCGCAAGCAGTAACAAATCGAAACACACCGCCGTCTTCGAAAAACAGCGCTCTTCGAAGGATACGGTATTTTTTGAATAACTGGAAATTGCTGTTTGTCTCATTGAAAAAAGCTTAGTTTAGAAAAATAAATTTACTGAAAGACCTGAGAAAACGCACTACCTGGACACTTACATTTTGGAGCTAACTCGGGGGTTCACGGAAGTCTGACCAACCCTCATTTCGTTTTCCGCAGTCCTTCCGTCCCATGATCATGTCAAACCCTGCACTTTTCTGGAAAAGCGAAAGCATGTGCGGCCGGTTCCATTCAGTGTGACCCGATTTGGGGCAGGCTTAACCGATATAGTGAACTACTGACATCGTTCACCATCCCATAACAATAACTAGGAGAAACCGATTGAACTTGGATAGTGTTGAGATTCAGAATTCGTGCGCTCTTCAGAATTCTATTCGAGGAAACACCTCTCATCCTTTTTAGTGTGGGTTCCCGTTCAATTGGCCATCGCATGAGAGCTTGGTTAATGTGTACTTTGGTCTTAATCCCAATCCAAAATTCACTGTCGTGAGATCTCATACAATCACAGAAAGAAAAGC